GGACCAACCGCCCCTCTTTGCTCTTCTTTGACAGTTACTGTACGTAACTCTTTCTGGTTATTTTTCCATATGAATTCTTTTAATTAAAGTGTCTGGTTCTAGAATAAAACAAAAAAAATATTAGTACTTTTATTAAAACCATGTTCCTTTAGGGGCGCCTGGGTGGCTCAGCCGGTAAGCGTCTGCCTTCAGCTCAGGTCATGATCCCAGGGTCCTGTGATCAAGCCCCGCATCGGGCTCCCTGCTCAGCCGGAAGTCTGCTTCTCCCTCCCCCACTCCCCTTGCTGTGTTCCTGCTCTCACTGTGCTCTGTCAAATAAATAAAATCTTTAAATAAAAATAAATAAATAAATAAAAACATGTTCCTTTATAAATTAACTTATAGGGAGAACTTATGTTTCCTGTTCACTCCTCTTATCCAAGAACCTGGTATGTGTTACCATTTGTGCAAGTCTTCTTTTGTGTCCTTCAGTAGCATTTGAAAGTTTTCTTCACATAGGTCTTGCATATTTCTTGCCAAGTTTATACATAAATTTTATCTTTTTTGGTTGCTGTTATAAATGGGGTGTGTTCTTCCATTATATTTTCTAACAAGTTGTTTGCATAGAGTAAAGCTACTGGTTGTTGTCTAGTAAGTAGATACCTTACTATTAATTCTCTTGTATTCTCCAGGTATATAATCTCCTGATCTGCAAACTAGTGGCAGTTTTACCTTCTCTTTTCCAATTTGTACATCTCTAATTGCCTCCTCCTATCTGACTACATTAGCTATCACTTACAAAACAATGTTAAATAATAACCAATTACCCAGAATAGGCCTACTCATGCTTTGATCCACTTTAGGCAGCCTTGGAAAAGCTTCACATTAAAGAAGTTTGAAGGTTTGAATCTTATCTTCTTGCAAAGTAGAAATCTAAGCCACAAGTTATAAAAAGATGAAAATTTTCTCAATACCAAAAAAAAATAATAATCCAATTTTAAATCGGACATAAGACATGAACAGACATTTCTCCAAAGAGACATATGAAAAGATGCTCAACATCCCTCATTGTCAGGGAAGTGCAAATCAAAACCACAATGAGATACTACCTCACATCTGTTAGAACGGCTAAAATCAAAAACAAGAAACAAGTGTTGATGAAGATGTGAAGTAAAAGGAACCCTCATGTACTGTTGGTGGGAATGCAAAGTGGTGCAGCCACCGTGGAAAACAGTATGGAGATTCCTCAAAAAATTAGAAATAGGGGCACCTGGGTGGCTTAGTTGGTTAAGCATCCGACTCTTGATTTTGGCTCAGGTCATGATCTCAGGGTTGTAAGTAGTAGGAGTGCCCTGTAAAATTGTCTGAACACGATGCTTTGAGAGGAGGCAACTCTTGGATGACTTTATTTCTTCTAGAAAAATCATTCTGTTAAGATTTCCTAAAACGAACGGGATCTTTCTGGTATCAACTTGGGTCAATTATATTTGCCTAAAAATTATCTATTCCATCCAAGTTTTCAAATTTATTTTCAAAGAGTTAGTATCTTATAATTCTTTAAGTTTTCTACTTCTATTTACTCCCCCCTTTTCAGTTCTTATTTTATGTATTTGTACTTTCTTCCTTTTTTTTTAGATAGTTTATAAATTTTATTGTTACAGTTCACTTGTTTTCCAAGGAGCCACCTTTTGGATTACTCATATTGTTCTACTGTTTTTCTATTTATACTTAAAGTTCTTAAAAGAGTACACTCTGAGCAGGTGTTCTACATCTCTTCCTCTTGCCAGGAAAACAACAACAACAACAACACAGTAATACAGTGAACACTACCTAAGAATATAGGCCCAAGAAAGCAGAGATTAAATATGAGCTGTCAATGTTATCTTGAATGATATCTCCAAATCCCAAACATCTGACCAAAAAAACAGATTAGCAATATTTCCAAAATGCAAAAAAAAAAGGTGCCATACAAAATAAAAACTGGGCTTTTACAGTAATTAATTCACTAGAAATAAGATTAGTTCTAACTATAATAAACTTACATTTTAACAACATAGGTTCTCAGTATAAGCCTTCCACCTCCTGCCTATCTCTAGCAATTAACTGCCCACCAATTCAGTTCAACAAGCATGAGTTCCACTTCTCCCCCAGTCCCAAAGTTCTCTGAGTATTGCTTTACAGCCAGGCACTGAAACAGAGAGAGACCACCTCCACATATAAGATCAGGCAAACTGCTTGTATGCCCTGCCAGGCAGCCGGTGCTGTCCAGGACCCCCCACTAACTTGAACAGGGTATGCTTCAAATGAGTCAGTCCAGTTCAAGTTTAGTCGTGACCAGTCACCCAAAATAGGACTATTTATCTTTTCATCCACTACAGGTAGCCTGGGAGAAATTTAACACTACAGAAGTTTGAAGGACTGAATCTTACCCTCTTGCAAAGTAGTAATCTACTACTTGGCCACAGTTTATAAAAGGGTGTAAGTTTCCTTATGAATACCAAAAAAAGGTAGGATTAAATCTAAAATGATAACTCTTCACACCTAAAGTATCTGGTAAAAGAGCACAAAGACAGAGCGTAGTACTAGGCTGAACCAAAGACACTAAACAGGCCTTATCTTCTAAAATCAAAAGGTGATGCTTCTGTCACAGAACTTTTGAAAGTCAGGGTACAATTAACAACAGGCAGAGATAATAAGGAGGAGTGAAGGGCTACTAAACAGATTGGAGGTTGGGATAGAGATGAATTTGACTTTCAAAACAATAATACTTAAGTCCATAAGCTTCAAGCTTACAGCCACCAAAACCTACCAAGGAGGTAATACTGCCCATTTCTGGGCCAGTCAGAACCTTCGGCAACCTGTCAAGGGAGGAGTTGTACCAGGAGTGGGGACTGGAAAGGCCACAATCTAAAACTGAAATATTTGGGCAGGAAAAGAGTTAAAACAGCTGAGCAATAGGACATATGCACTGCACATGCACATGCATTGTAGGCTTGGCCCTACACCAAAAAAAAGCAGTTTACTGGTCCAGATACAGAGATGTATGCATGGCTACATAAAAAGACCGAAGAGCCTGGAAGAGAACCAAACCCTGAGGTTTTCCATTAGACTTACTAGGTGGATGTGACAAATAAATCATTGGCTCGTTTCTGTCATATTGGTTAATCTTTTACCAAAAATGTCATTTATTTATCAGGTAAGTGATTGAGAAGACTTTGGTTAAGATTAAGCAGAATTAGGGGCACCTGGGTGGCTCAGTCCTTAAGCGTCTGCCTTCGGCTCAGGTCATGATCCCAGGGTCCTGGGATGGAGCCCAGCACTGGGGCTCCCCGCTCAGCGGGAAGCCTGCTTCTCCCTCTCCCACTCCCCCTGCTTCTGTTCCTTCTCTTGCTGTGTCTCTTTGTCAAATAAATAAATCAATCTTAAAAAAAAAAAAAAGATTAAGCAGAACTAAATTTTAGTTAAAGTTGATCTTGCACCACTTTGCAAATCTGATCAAGATTGTGTTCAAAAAAAAAAAAAGATTTTTGTGTTCATTTATTGTTTTTTAGATGTCTGGGAGGGCATACCAAAGAGACTGTAGTGTTTAAAGAGGAAGTTTAGTACAAGCTGGGGGTGTTCAGCATTGAAAAAGCACTGCCTTTAAGTATCCATTTATGAATACTGGTTTGTAAAAGAGAATTTATTTTTAAAATGAAGTTTAAAACTCATTCTCTGAATGTGAGTCAAAAATAAAACTTTTAGGGCTGACCATGAGGTGGAGTTGAAGTGAGAGGGGCATAGGAAGCAGAACTGCTAATGCAGATGGAGAAACAAGTTACATAGCATCAGTTTCCAAACTGCCCCACATTCAAAAAACCTCTATCTTTTCCAGTCTCACACTGATACTAAATACTGTGTATGATATGCACACCCTCACTATGACCTCCTCCTATAATTCAATAATTCTTTAAGGAAAAGAAAAACAGAATTCCCAGGAATTTTTAAATGCAGGCTTTATCTTGGCATCGAGCCATATGTAAAAGACTAATCATTTAATCCTCCAACAGCTCTAAAGCAGTGGTTTACAAACTATGGAGTGTATTAGAATTACCCAAAGGGTTTAAAACACTAATTGTAGGGACCACGCTTTAAGAAGCACTGCACCAAGATAATGGCAATGGTCCTTGGTTGGTGGACCTGGGCTGTCTGCGAACCGCTACCAGCCTGCGACAGAAACTGAGGTTTAAGCTTTATGCAAATAACTTTTAGAGTAGTTTAACATAACTGGGCACCCAACCATGTGATCATTTTTCTGGCTTTTTTTTTTTTTCTGTATTTTCCCAAAGTTTTGGTATGAGATTAGAAAACTATTTTTAAGTTTGTAAAGCACAACTTTAAAGCGACACCTCCGACTGCTGAGAGCGGCAGACCCGCGAGCACGGGGCCAGAGGCAGCGCCTGCCAATTGGGAGAAACCGGGCACTCAGGGAGGATAATGGAAGCCTGAGGATAATTCTTGCAATCGGTACAGTGGTCTGAGGTACAATCTCAAAACTGCAGTTTTCATCGTTCTGTATCATTCCATTGCTTCCAGTGACAACACAACACGGCACCATTGCTGAAAGTGGCCAGTATCCCAGCGGACCGTACACAAGAGAAAGAAAGAGGGAGGCACAGACGCCGGCACTGAGAGCGCACACCTGTGAGAAAGAGCGGAAATCGGGTCAGCGCTTTTCCTACCCAAAGTTTGGAGCCGCCGGGGTATTTGCACTCTAGGTGAGTTATACCAACATACTACATTCCATCAAAGTGCTTCGTGCTGTTTTAGGGGGTGAGAAGCCAAACAAAGAAAAAGCTACGACCCCTCCCCACGCCCCCGGGTCGGAGCTTCTCCGCGCCTGCGCAGACCCCAGCCTAACCATCCACCCGAGGCCGGCCCTCGGCTCTCTTCCGGGCGGGCGGAGGACGCGCAGCCACCGGGCGCTGATGCGCATGCGCCACGATAATAACAGTGCCTTCTGCGCGTGCCCGCGTCCTTACCCGTAACGGGGATCGGCTCCTTCCGGCCCGGCAAGGCCTCCTGGGGGCTGGCGATCTTAGAGGCGGAGTCGCCCATTCTCGAAACGGGAAAGCGGATGTGGAAGAGCTGGCTAGCCCGCCTGGTAGCTGAGAGCATGGGCGGGCGGCTGGCTGACGGGCCGCCGAACGGAACGGCGCGGTCGAGAGCGGAGCCGCCACTGCGGAGTGGGCAGCTGGCGCCGGGCAGCGGGACCGGCGTGCACTGGGCCGCGCTGCGGGCGGGGGTCCGCTGAGGCCCGCGTGCGCTGCTGGCTGTGGCCACTGCCGCCTCGGAACAGAGGTTACCTAAGGCTCGGGCCAGACCGGCAGTAACTGAGGGCGTGTTCTCGCCCAGGGGTGGGAGGGGAGACGGCGCGGGGGGGCCTGGTCCTAGGAGGCACCAGCGAGTCTTTCTGGTTCGGCTTCGCGACGGAGTTCCCAGGCAGAGAACAAATGTACTAATTGCGATACGAAAGTACGTGAAGCGGCAGAGGCCAATAATAATAATGCCTAGCCTTTGATTTTAAAGTTCGTACCCTCCTTAAAAACCTTAGCAGTTGTTCAGTGTGCCCAATAAGATATAAGACAACCTACTTTACAGGCAACTAGAATGTATGAGTATTTCCACTGCAGCCATTATAATGATAAATTATCAAAAAGATGAGTACCCAAAATAAAAACTAAGCACAATTTTCGAAAAGCTCAGAATAGGGAAGATAATTCAAAATAATGTTTTATGTGTATATACACACATACATATATACACTGATAAACCCATTTTGCAGGGTGGAAAATAGAGAATCAAAGCACTAATGGTGCTGTTGGATCAGTCTTGTTTCTCAAATCGTGGGAGATAACATTTGTTCCTGTGACAAATTTTCAACCCGAAAAATAAGGTGGGTGGGGCCAGATGGGTGACTTGGGAGTTCCATACGTGAAATTTTGGTTTCACACAAATGTTCTGCCGGAATGGGCAAATAGTCTCACGAGGGAAGGAACTTAAGATTAGCACCCATAGAAATGAAGAGTTTGACCGGACCTCCCCCAGGAGTGAGTTGCCCTTTTGTTTTAAGGTGGTCTGGACTGTAATAGGACAGAAGGATGGCTCTACTATATTGTAGAATATGGTCACACATGCAACATTAAAGTTTTTATTTTGTAATTTTAGATTTCCTCTGGGCAGTTTGCCTCAGTTTTTACTTTTGATTTATTTGTTTTTGCTGTGAGATTATGCAAAGTAGTTTCTACAGACCTCTCCTGAAAACACTCCAAGGTGTCCCTTCTACGCTTGGTCACTGCTAAGCGCTTGAAAAAATAAGCTTTTCTGTCAGAGGAAATATTCTGTGTGTGTGTGTGTTTTTTTAATTATTGCCTTTTGATACATACTGATTTTCTATGTTTTATGGTTAATTGTATGAAATTAAACAACAGCAACTAAGAACTGAAGAATTTTTCACCTCACTAAGTACTTATATAATATTAAGTGAAAAAGCACAACAGAGCTACAGTATGTATATATATGTACTATGTAGTATATATAAAAATATATGTATCTCCACTTGTGCACCCACTGAAGAAAGACCAGGAAAAAAATGGTTGCAGTTTTGTTGTTCAAAGTAATGATCTACTGATTTTCAACTTTCTTAAAATGTTCTACATTGTTACAGTGTTCTCAAGTGTTCCAATGCCTATGTTATTTATAAACAAAAATAGTTTTAAAGGAAAAGTACCTTGGTTTATTTCAAAGCTTTTTTTTTTTTTCATAAAGCAGTGGTTTCTTATCTCATTTACCAGAATAGTTGCAAGAAAAGTTACACTGAGGTTGGTTGGTTGGTTGGTTTGTTTAAGGAGAAAATAAAATATTCCTGCCTTCAGTGATGCCATTTTCACCACTAGGACTTCCTTTTCTTCAGACCCTCCTAATCCCTTCTGAGCTCCAAACTGAGAGTCTTTTTTTTTTGTCCATATTCCCCATTGGGCACACACTGCTTTGATTTGTTATTTTTGTGATTAGTCACTGGTTTTTCAACAAATTCTAACTATGTTGTTTAGGATGCAGTGTAAGCATCCTCTTAGATATGAAAAAGACCAAAAATACAGCAGTTTAAACAAAATAGAAGTTTCTCTTACATATAATCTGAAAGTAGGTAGTTAAGTGCTGATAGGACCATGTCATTTCTTCCATAGTATCTCATACTGAATTGGCTTACATTAAGTTTCCTGTGGTTAGTATTGGTTTGATTTGGCCAAAACCCTTACTTACATTAGCAAAAGTTTCTTTTCCATTTGTTCAAGAATGGCTCCACCTTGGCCTTTGGAGACAAGAATACTTACGTAATACTCTATTCCAAATCTAGGCCTAGGGTTTTTTGTTTTGTTTTGTTTTGTTTTTTTAAGATTTTATTTATTTATTTGACAGAGAGAGACACAGCGAGAGCAGGAACACAAGCAGGTGGAGTGGTAGAGGGAGAAGCAGGCTTCCCGCGGAGCAGGGAGCCCGATGCGGGACTCGATCCCAGGATTCCGGGATCATGACCTGAGCCGAAGGCAGACGCTCAACGACCGAGCCACCCAGGCGCCCCCTAGGCCTAGGTTTTAGTTGGGATACAGATAAGGTTGCTTTAACAGAGACCCAAAGATACTGTATATGAAACAAGATAGTGTGGGGTTTTTTGTTTGTTTTTGTAAAGATTTTATTTATTTGAGAGAGAGAGAATGAGAGACAGAGAGCATGAGAGGGAGGAGGGTCAGAGGGAGCAGCAGACTCCCTGCCAAGCAGGGAGCCTGATGCGGGACTCGATCCCGGGACTCCAGGATCATGACCTGAGCCGAAGGCAGTCGCTTAACCAACTGAGCCACCCAGGTGCCCCGATAGTGTGTTTTTTTTAATTGAAGCATAGTTGACACACAATGTTACATTAGTTTCAGATCTACCACATAGTGATTCAACAAATCTATAGTTAAGCTCACTGCAAGTGTAGCTACCATCTGTCACCATACAACGCTTTACAATACCACTGACTATATTCCTCATGTTATGTCTTTTATTCCTGTGACTTATGCACTCCATTCCTAGAAGTCTATACCTCCCACTCCCCTTCACCCATTTTACCCATCCCCCGGCTTCCTCCTCTCACAACCATCAGTTTGTTCTCTGTATTTATGTGTCTGTGAAACAAGATAGTTTTGTTTTTTTCTCTCCTATACTGGTCCAGAGGTCAGTGGTCAGGAATGGTAGGTCAGTGCTGCTATCCTCATACATAACCTCCATCCCAGAACCTGCCATCACATCTGTATCTTAGCCCTGCCAAAAGGCAGAAAGGAAAGGGGTGTACATCTCAGTACTCCTGGGAGTGAGTCCCAGATGTTGCACTACTCACTCATTCCATTGACCTGATTAGAGACATAACTACATCTAACTGGAAGGTGGGAGATAAAGTTCTCTAGCTGGGCAACCAATGGATCCAGCTAATACTCAGCAGTTCTAGTAATAAAGGAAGGTGAGAATGTACATTGGTGGACAACTTTGTCACAGTCCACACCTCTGGTCACCCAGATATTTATATATGCCCATCTTCTAACAGAACATACCCTATTCCAAAGGGAGAAAAAGCCAAAGTTCCAAGTAGTTATTGCATCCAGCTCTTAAGTCCATGATATGAAGATGATATACAGTCCTTTTCAAGTCTGAATATAACTCCTCATGACCCAGTGACCTACTAGCTAAAAGATGACGTATCTTCCCCCCGCACACACACACCCTCCCCCACATACCTGGTGAGGTAGGAATATGAAAAATTATTTGGAAAAAGAATGGAGGGGAAGTAGTCACTGGTCCATAGCCTAGCAAAATGTTGCAAAAAGGAAACTTTAAAGATTGCCCAGGGGCACCTGGGTGGCTCAGTCATTAAGCGTCTGCCTTCAGCTCAGGTCATGATCCCAGGGTCCTGGGATCCAGCCCCACATCAGGCTCCCCGCTCAGCAGGAAGCCTGCTTCTCCCTCTCCCACTCCCCCTGCTTCTATTCCTGCGCTCGCTATTCCTTTCTCTGTCAAATAAATAAAATCTTTTTAAAAATTTTAAAAAAAGATTGCCCAAGTGGTAAGTAAATTCTTAGTTGGACCCCATTTCTGCTTTCCAGAAGGAATTCCTCTGTTGTTGCATTTGAAGTTACTGGCTTTACCCTCTGGGAGGTTCTTATCCATGATCCTCCATGATTGCATCTGAAGAGTATATTGACAAGTATGCCTTCCTGGGAGGATACACATCTTTTTGTGCCCGGTTTCTTACTGGTGCAGTTCTGAGGGACTTCAGGGTCAAATGCACACAGGTATTGGCAAGCTAGACTGTAGCTTTTTGTCAACTCAATTTGAAAAGTTATTGAATATATTTCTGGTTCATTTGTTCCTTTTACAATTACTTGTACAAATAACCTCAGCTAAAGATCTCAACTAGTCATATTTCTTATGCCTAATTACTCTTCATTTTTATTTACTAGGCTCTGTTTGTCCCATCTATCCTTTATCTATTAACTTAATTACAGTGCCCTTGCAGCCAGCAAAAACAGCAGGTTTGGTTGGAAAGGCAATCCCCTTAATAGAATCTTCACTGCTTGCCTTCCATGCTTGGCTTCCATCATCTGGCAGGCAACACTTTGCTAATGGCCCTTGAGAAGAGTTTTGGGTCGCAGTTTTATCTTCTGCTATTGGGAGTATAATAGCTTTTGGCTTTATCAAAACTAGAAGGCCCTAAATAACCACCTTCAGTCAATTTGTATTGCAGACTTCAGGCAGAGAATTTCAATCTTAGCAGAGCTTTATTTCCCTTCATCTCTTAAAATGGCTAGCTTCTATCTGAGTTCATCTTTCTCAAAGGATTTTCCTGAAGGAGGCAGGCAACAGACAATACTCTCTCATTGGTCAGAGAATCATCCCTACAGTTTTTCTGTACCATTTTCCCTACAGTTACAGATTCAAAGAGCATGTGGTTGGCCTTCCAAGATATTGAGTTGACAATTTTATCAAATGTTTTACAGCAGCATAAAAAGGATCACCAGCTTTTCAGCCTGTAATATCTGTGTCCTTGTTGTCTGCTGCCTGTCATTAAACTAATGCCATATAGTTTAGACTAATGTTATGAAGTCTACAGAAAAACTGCTAGAACTAATATGTTGATTTAGCAACACTTTAGGAAACTAGACCTATATACAAAAATCTATTGTTACTATATTTGAGAGAAAAAATGGAAATTGAAGTTTTTAAAACATTTAAAATAGCATCCAAAAATATTAAGTATTTAGAGATAAACCTGACTAAAGATGTGTTAGACCTGTATGTGAAAAACCAC